CCAGCTTAAGGGTCTTAACTGGCTTGTCAACTTGTACGAGCAGGGCATCAACGGTATCCTGGCAGATGAGATGGGTCTGGGTAAAACCATCCAGTCCATTTCCGTCATGGCTTACTTGGCCGAGGTGCATAACATCTGGGGACCTTTCCTGGTCATTGCACCAGCATCCACACTGCACAACTGGCAGCAGGAGATCACGAGGTTCGTTCCTAACATCAAGGTGCTTCCCTACTGGGGTAATGCCAAGGACCGCAAGATCCTGCGAAAGTTCTGGGATCGCAAGCACATCACCTATAACCGTGACTCTGAATTCCACGTGCTAGTTACCTCGTACCAGCTTGTCGTTCTCGATGCACAGTACTTCCAGAAGGTGAAATGGCAGTACATGATTCTTGATGAAGCTCAAGCTATCAAGTCTTCTTCAAGTTCGCGATGGAAGAACCTGCTGGGATTCAGCTGCCGCAATCGTCTTCTGTTGACTGGTACCCCAATTCAAAATAACATGCAAGAACTGTGGGCCCTGCTTCACTTTATTATGCCAACTCTCTTCGACTCCCACGACGAGTTCAGCGAGTGGTTCTCCAAGGACATTGAGTCGCACGCCCAGAGTAACACCAAGCTCAACGAGGATCAACTCAAGCGTCTTCACATGATTTTGAAACCGTTCATGTTGCGTCGTGTCAAGAAGAACGTCCAGCAAGAACTTGGAGACAAGGTTGAGAAGGACATCTTCTGCGACTTGACATACCGCCAACGTGCCTTGTACTCCAACCTGCGTAACCGTGTCAGCATCATCGACCTCATCGAAAAGGCTACCACCGGCGACGACACCGACAGTAGCACACTGATGAACTTGGTAATGCAATTCCGCAAAGTCTGTAACCACCCCGATCTCTTCGAACGTGCCGAAACAAAATCCCCCTTCTCCGCTGCATCCTTTGCGGAAACTGCATCCTTCGTTCGTGAAGGAAACTTTATCGATGTTCGCTATTCGACCCAGAACTTGATCGAATACGAGTTGCCACGCCTATTGTGCAGCTCTACAGGACGACTTGATCTTCCTGGTTCTGACAATCCTCGTGTGGGCTTCCAGAATAAGTACCTGTCCCAGCTGATGAACGTCTGGACACCAGAAAACATTCAGAAGAGCGCGCGTGACAACGGTGCGTTCTCTTTCTTGCGTTTCGTCGACACTTCTGCAGGAGAAGCAAGCGAGATCGCACGACTCGGCGTCTACGAGCGCGCCGAGCGTCGTCGCAGCAAGTCAAATAGGCTTTCTGCCTTGAATGTCATTTATGATGAGAGTGACGATTCAAGGAACTCTGTATTATCTCATTCGATGTTGAACATTATCGATCGTAATGATCGCCAGGCTGTTCGAGATGTTGCCGTTGAGGGCCGGATGAAGGATCTCATGACTGTTTCGCGCTCCTCATTCGAAAATCAAGGTCTTCACCTTATTGAGCCTTGCGCTGGTCCTAAAGCTTCAGCGCCCCCCATCACCATGTCCTGTTCCGGCCAACAGTTGTTACGGGAATCCAATCATGCTTTGTTCAATCCGTCTGTTCGCCAAGCACTATCTGGATACTGCAGCAAGCAACTTGAGGAGCAAATCCTCGCCAAGAAGCTCGATCCTGCGCCTTACTCTCATGCTCCTATGTTGCCGCCACCGGTCTCACTCAAGGGCCGCTACAGCCACATCGAGGTACCGTCGATGCGTCGTTTCGTGACAGATTCAGGCAAGCTGGCCAAATTGGACCAGCTGCTGCGGGAGCTCAAGCCCGGTGGCCACCGCGTGCTCCTCTACTTCCAGATGACACGCATGATCGACCTGATGGAGGAGTACTTGACATACCGGAACTTCAAGTACTGCCGACTGGATGGAAGTACCAAGCTGGAAGACCGCCGCGACACTGTCGCAGACTTCCAGTCCAACCCAGAGATCTTCGTCTTCTTGCTCTCGACTCGTGCCGGTGGTCTCGGTATCAACTTAACGGCAGCAGACACTGTCATCTTCTACGACTCCGATTGGAATCCTACCATCGATTCACAGGCTATGGATCGTGCCCATCGTTTGGGCCAAACTCGCCAGGTCACTGTCTACCGTCTTATCACCCGCGGTACCATTGAAGAACGCATCCGCAAGCGTGCCTTGCAGAAAGAAGAGGTGCAGCGCGTTGTCATTACCGGTGGTGCTTCTGGCGGTGTCGACTTCAACACCCGTGCTCGCGAGAACCGCACCAAGGACATTGCCCTGTGGCTTGCCGACGACGACGAGGCCGAACTCATTGAGCAAAAGGAGAAGGAAGCCATCGAACGTGGTGAGACCCTTGGCGCTAAGGGCGGGAAGAAGGCCGCTCAGAAGCGCAAGCGGGATCTTACCCTGGATGACATGTACCATGAAGGTGAGATTACTCCACTCCATTACTGCGATTGACATGCATACTAATCGATTATATAGGCGAGGGTAACTTTGACGACGCCAGCGCCAAACCCTCAGGGGCTGCTACGCCTGCCGAGGAGCCCATCGAGACACCTTCAGCAACGCCTGCAAAGCGCGGGCGCGGCCGTGGTCCCGGCAAAGGCACATCGAAACGAGCTAAGACCACAAAAGAGCGTCTCCGTCTGATCGACGGTGACGGCGGCCTCGATTAATCCAATGACTTGTCAACTAATGCAATTCGGAACGGCGTTTAATGTCAAATCTTCTTATTTTCTTTTGTGTTTGGTTATTCCCATTTGTCCTTATTTCCACCTTCCCTTCCCCTTTTCTTCTTATCTTCTCGAACGGCAGATACATGTGAACTGCTCTGTATTATCATACAAAACCTTGGCTATGTTCTCCAACGGCGATGTGGGTTCAGTATGGACATTTCCCAAAGTCTGGTGGCTCAGGGTGGTTGATGCAATGATGAAAAGATGTGTTTCTTTCCCCCGATAGACTTGATCCTGGCTTTGGATTGTGGTTCATGGGTGGTTGTGGTTGTTTCGGTGTGAACTTTGTGATTTGTTCTTTTCTTTTTTTTTTCCCCCCATTCTACATTGTTCTCTTTTCACACCTTTTTTTCTTTTCCTATTTTGGCTTTTTGACTCGCTTGTATGTTCAATGTTCAAAAAGGGCGCGAGTGTTTTAGTTTGGTCATGAGTGTCAATGTATTGGTTTGATGGACTCTTATGCCCTTGGTTTTTGGCCAGTTGAAGTCGTAGTATTAGATGTTATAGTGAGGTTTAGTGTGTTCCTTGGGTTAGGGTTATATTATGACTGGTGATGGTCAAATTAGGGCTTATAGATTTCCAGCCTTGTCGCTCAACCTCTTGAAGTTCTCATGTCCTAAATCCGAAGGCTCTACTTGCTAGTCTTACACAATGCCCCTGCTCTTTTAGACTCCATCTCCAAGTCAATCTACTTCCTCAAACCCTGCCGCATACAGCGCTTACAACAGAAACAATAGTACTGAAATATCATGAAGAATACTCGTCATTGTATTTCCTACTATGTCAGATTCAATCATCATCAATGTGGGGTTGAATGCTAGATTTCATCTGGCCGTCTCTGGTCGGACTAGGTCCGTAACTAAAACAGGCGTCTAGGCCAAGAAGCCCTGGTTGTTCCGAGGGAAATCAGACTCTTTCCAATTGGCGTGAAGGCGTGATGTGATGCCTCAACGTGGAACTCCCGAGCCATATCTGAGGTTTGTGTGATATTTTTTTCACCCTGGTACGACATGATTGTGCTTTTCTCAGGTCGTCGACCAACCCGCCCTCGGCTGTAATTCGGTCTCACTTCGGAATTCGTGGTGTGGATCCCCCGCTTTATCCGTGTTTGTATGTATAACCCGCTGTGTCGGTCGAGTTCGTACTCTGGCCAGTACTAGAAGAAACAGGGGGGATTTTGATTGGTCCATTGCTAGGCGTTCTCCTCGTATCGCTGAACCAATTGAGGAATCAGAGACAGGTCGTCTTATTGTGTTGCTCTTCGACGGACCCACGGCATTGAGCAAGAAGGGAGTGGCCGACGAGTGCTCCTCCTCGCTAGTCTGGCCTGGTGAACGTGCAAGGGTCGCTACCGATGTATCACCAGTTTATATTTGCTATCACGGACTGCGGAGTCATTCAATTCTTTCTTTTGAAGGGGGATATGGTTGAGTCTGTCTTCTGTGTCGGGCCAGGTAATAAGATGCTCGGTCCTTGTTGCGGTCCAGGTAGATAGGTCTCTAGAGAAGAGAAGAGAAGATCACTGAAAGGTATGGATAGGATAGCCCGCGGATGCACCCTTCATCTTCTGCTATCCGGACACAATCTCAGAGCGCATCATGTGGATGGCTAAGTAGTGACGAGCAGGGGTCCCAACATGTAGGGTGAGATTTCTATCTCCTTCTGTGAGATAATACATGCCGGTAAGAAGAAAGAAGGAATATGGATGGTGGTATATATAGTAGTGTAGAAAGAGGGCGTTTCAATCACCTCTAAAACTGTTCGCTCCATGGATCTTCACACCTCTTCCCACTCACTACATCTAGGATTAGATGCGTGCAGTAGATCGGACCGGGTCACAGCTGCACTGTAAGCAAGGCGCTTTCTTGCTATTGACCATCATGCATACGGTTGTTCGGACCATTTCGGCCATGGTGTAAAAAAGTGAGCCTTTTCCAACGGACTCGAGGCTATCGCTTATACACTGGTAATCACCATTTGTGATTCTCCATTCTAGGAGTATACCTCATCTTCCACTTTTCTGTCATCGATCAGTTATTCTCCATAAGCTCAGTAATTGACGTTGATGGGTAGTACGTACATCAGCGTAGTTCAACCATTTGGGCAATTTCTACCCAAGTGTGGCATGGCGTTCGCTGCTTCTAATCCCCTGGCAGCAGAATTCTTGAGCATCATCATGGTCCTTCCAAGCTCGCACACACTGCAACTCCCGGTTGGATGTCTGGCGTTGATTATATAAGTATATAAAGTGGACCAGGGCGGCGTATTACCTTGTCATGCCATGGTTAATGGGTGCTTTTGGTACAATCCAGTCCCTCTTGGCATTTGCTAACGAGGATTCCATGGATGTTTGATGTTGTCAAATTGTTGGACAGAGCACCACCAAGGTAACGATCCGGGTCATTGACGGCTTCAAGAGCAGTCCAATCCTCTAGCTGTAGAACACTCGGAACGTCGCCATGGACCTTCCAATATCTCGCCGCTGCGCCTCTGGACCAGATGACTGGTATTGGGATTGGGTATATAGAGTAGATCAGGGCGGTGTATTCTCCGATCGTCATCTCATGGTTGATTGTGGTTTGCGGTACAATCCACTATCCCGTGAAGACCATGGATGATCATAGATGATATATGTAATGTTGCAAATCGTTAGGGGTGGTGGACCTATATATTTTGCTCATGCCGAGACCTTGGTGGAGGTTAGTTATGTAATTCCTGTGATAACGGGTGCTTTGGTGAGATGAAGCGGTAGTCAGAAATGACTGACCTATAAGTGAGAGTAGTGTGATGAAGGGATCATGGGTGAATTCATCGATGAAGCTGATAGAAGGTACGAGTGCAAGAAAACTCCATATGAGAGGGAGCTTTTCCTTTTTTACGTACCCGTCACCTCACTTCTTGATTCACGTAGTTCTGTGTGACTACACATAGCAAGAAGAAGAAGAAGAAGAAGTATGATAGAGGTGGATGATAGATGGTAGACGAAGATCTACCCACCGTCACTTCTCATCAAATGTTCCTTCGCTCCTCAGTCGCTGTCAAGGTATCCGTCTTGTCAACAGGTTATATAGATATGGATAGCCTGGGCTTCTTCGGGCGTTAGAGGATGAAGGAGGAGAGGTGTATCATCTTCCAACGAAGAAGATCACTGGGGTATTTAGACCCAGGGAAGTAAGGCACAAGCAAAGTAAAAAGAAGTAAAACAAAGAAGTAAGTGAAGCAAAAGAAAGAAGAAAGCGAAGTGAAGTAAAAGAAAAAAGAAAGAGAAGCAAAATCACGTCTGAGAACCAGACTATCAAATATCCAGCAAACTGTACCAGCCAAGTGGTTCTTGGATGGCAGTGTTTTTCTCTCCCTTTCTCACTTGGCTTTGGCTGTGCCTTTTGAACCCATGATTGGTATTCTACGGTAGCATTGTCAGAGTCAAGGAGGTGTTTGAATGCCAAAATGAAGTCACCATCTTCCAACCCGGCGTAATCGTAATGGAGAAGGGTTGCGTAATAAAGGCATTGGATTCATCGTGCTCTCCATCCAGAAACTATATTCGGCAGCGTTCTCGATTATAGAGATATCAGCGGGTGTCGGATCCTGCATTGTCACATATATTGGCAAAGCATCTTGGACCCGTTTAGGCTGTCTGGGGATTGCAAGAGTGTCGATTCCATCATTACAGATAGATGTGAGCCGCAAGTCAGTCAAACAGCGCTTATTTGGCATCGCGATGAAGTAAGCGATGAAGCAAACGTATCCTAGGGACTCCACCTGATTGCTGCGTTCAATTCTACATTATGATCGTTTATTGAACTATTTAACATCTCCTTAGATTTTGCGTAGATAGTGATCAGATTCTCCCATTAATGTCTCTTTGGTGTTCTCGAGTTCCCTGAAAGGAAATTTCAAAGTCTCTTGTGCACTTGTAATGCCATTTGATGCTTGTACCCTGTGTTCCAATAGAGTAATTTGATAATGAGATAGAAGTAAAATTGTGGCCTGGTCGATATACTTCCTACGGGACTATGAGGCCTCCCAGTATTGGCTGTTACGCTTCAAATGGAAGCAGTGAGGACATGGTTTCAATAGTTTGATACACGGCTATGATGAAAGGTATTATAAAACTTTCAATGTATCTAGAAATTCTTACGCTAAGAACTTATTAACTAAATTCAATATGGATGTCTAACCTCGAATTTAAGCAATAGTATGTTTGTTGTACTGTAGAAAATGGGGGTTTTTGGCCAACCTGGGAAATAATATTGATTGAGAGTTGAAGGAACCGAATATGGGATAGCTTAACGAGAATACATGTTGTATCTTGTAGTCAAATCCCGGGAGAATTGAAGAATCCTCAGAGAGCAAATGGCGTCTGAAGTGGCGAGGGGTCTCGGCATTTAGATAGTGCATTACATAATCCTGGTTTTTTTTTCTACCGGGGGCCTGGGTCCGGCTCCGGCAGTGTTTAAATCCGGCAGAATTCGAAATAAAAAGGCGGAATCTAAATAAAGCCAATCATACGGTAGAAGTCATGTGGGCGGTAGATCCCGAAGTAATTTCAAAAAGGGAAATTTGTGAAATCGATGGGGACTGGGTAGGCCTAATTAGGTAGGCTTGGCTCCACCTATTAAGTATGGCATGATCGAAGTAAAACAATCTCCGGGGAGCCAAATTCATCCAAATAATTTACCAAAAGAAAGTGGAGTCGATTTTCACGGGGTTTGTGTCTATATTGTCGTTCTCGTGTTGCCGTTTTCCCCAAGTGGCAAAGCCCGCGGTTGTGAGGCACATCGGGAAGGAATATCCGTACCTCGGGATTTGTCCTGACCAATCAGAAGTCGTTATATGTAAGCCCTTTAGATCAGTCAGCCGCCCCCACCCAATTGATTTTCCCTCTGGTTCCGCTGGTTTTCGATATGTTAACTTGTACAATCTCCTGAATTGACGGGGATTTTTTGTCTTTGGTATCTTTTTTTTCCTTCCCATACATTTGGTTCAATTCAATCATGGAGGCTCTCTTGCAGCAGTCTCGCACTATGTGCCCTTTCCTCAAGCGCACATCCCCCACCACCCTCCGCACTCTCTCGACCGCTACTCGCCCTAGCACCAGCCCGGGAGGCGGAACCATGTCCAACCTGCAGGTTCTGGGTCGCCGCTGCCCTGTCATGAGCAAGGCTCTGGCTGTGCAGAGTGCCCGTCTCAGTGGCACCAAGCGCTTCACCTCGCGCGCCGCCGGGGTCTCTGGAATTCAGTCTATGCGGGTTCCGACTGGCAAGCGCGCCTTGCACACCACTGGTGGTCACCCCGCCAGTCTCGCCTCCGGAGGATACGAGAAGAACGAGCGAGGTAAATTGAGTTTCTGAAGCTTGGACTTTGAGCTTTTTCTAATCTGACTACAGAAAACCCTAACTTGGCGGCCAATCCTCTTCGGTCGTCCCCTACCGCCGCCGCCAACGCCGCAGTTCGCGGTCCCCGCCCGGAAGCCCCAACCAACAAGAGGTTCGACTACAATGACTTCTATAACGTGGAATTGGAGAAGAAGCACAAGGACAAGTCCTACCGCTACTTCAACAACATCAATCGCCTCGCCAAGGAGTTCCCTCGGGCCCACACTGCCTCTGCCGAGGAGCGTGTGACTGTCTGGTGCTCAAATGACTACCTTGGCATGGGTCGTAACCAGCAAGTCTTGGACTCCATGCACAAGACTTTGGACACCTATGGAGCTGGTGCAGGTGGTACTCGCAATATCTCCGGTCACAACCAGCATGCTGTCGCCCTGGAGGATACACTGGCCAAGTTACATGGCAAGGAGGCCGCATTGGTCTTCAGCTCCTGCTACGTGGCTAATGATGCGACCCTGGCAACACTCGGCAGTAAGATGCCCGATTGTGTCATCCTCTCAGACAGCCTCAACCATGCTTCGATGATCCAGGGTATCCGCCACTCTGGCGCGAAGAAGATGGTCTTCAAACACAACGATATGGAAGACCTGGAAGCCAAATTGGCCTCATTGCCACTTAGTACCCCCAAGATTATTGCCTTTGAATCCGTCTACAGTATGTGCGGATCAATTGCGCCCATTGAGAAGATTTGTGATCTCTCCGACAAATACGGTGCCATCACTTTCTTGGATGAAGTCCATGCCGTAGGAATGTACGGCCCTCACGGAGCTGGAGTTGCTGAGCATCTTGATTACGATGTCTACGCATCGCAGGATACAGCCTCCCCTCAAAGCACCAAGGGCACAGTTCAGGACCGAATTGACATTATCACCGGTACTTTGGGCAAGGCCTACGGCTGTGTTGGTGGATATATTGCAGGCTCGGCAGCCATGGTGGACACCATCCGCTCCCTTGCCCCCGGTTTCATCTTCACCACTTCCCTCCCACCAGCAACCATGGCTGGTGCGGATGCCGCCATCCAGTACCAGTCCCAGCAACCCCGGGACCGAGTCCTCCAGCAACTCCACACCCGTGCAGTTAAGTCTGCCTTCAATGATTTGGATATCCCCGTCATCCCCAACCCCTCACACATCGTGCCCCTCCTAGTCGGTTCTGCCGAGCTGGCCAAGCAGGCCTCCGACAAACTTCTCGAGGAGCACGGAATCTACGTGCAGGCCATCAACTACCCCACCGTTCCCCGCGGCGAGGAGCGTCTGCGCATCACTCCTACTCCAGGCCACGTGAAGCCCCTGCGCGAGCACCTTGTGCAGGCCGTTCAGACCGTCTGGAACGAGCTCGGCCTCAAGCGCACCAGCGATTGGAAGAGCCAGGGCGGTTTCGTCGGTGTTGGCGTTGAAGGCGCCGAGGCCGCCAACCTGCCCATCTGGGAGGACGCTCAGCTTGGCCTGCAGGCCGGCGAGACCCTCGAGGGCGCTGTTGCTCGTGAATTCAACGACGCAGCTGCCCAGGCCACCGTGCCATCCCTGAAGGCTGCTACCCCTCTGACCGAGAAGGCTTACTCGGGAATGAACTCCACCCCTGTTGGTGTGGCCGTCTAGAACAGACAAGTCCCGTCTTTTACGCATTTCGGTTTTTGGGGTAATTCTAGTCACATTATTCCCGTCCATTCATTTACTATAATATTATGTTGTTCGGACATACATTGACATATGCATCCGTCTTCAATCATACCATCCCACATATTTGTGTCATATCTCCTTGTCTGCTCTTGTTTAAATGATGTAGTCATCTTTCGGCTTGGATTAGCCGTGGATTGCGCGTTTGTCTGTTGATGTATGCCATTGATTTGGTTTCAAAAGACCAAGACTAATGTCGGATATACTACTTGTATTTACGTCCATCGTGTCTCATTTATTGGGCTCAAGTGGACGAGGTTGAAATGAACAGAGTTGAAGTGGCATTGTATCTCATGTAGGCTTCGGCGTCTTGTAGTGTGGAAGTGCTTATTAGTAGTCCTAGAAGAAATGGTTGTCCCTGTTTATAGGTATTTAGGGCATTGATATATATACAACCAACCAACCACTGGGTTTGAATAGCATCCACTCTAGTTGCAAAGAACTATTATTGGAATTGATAAGAAAGCACTAGTAGATCAAAACTAGGCGAGAAAAAGGCTAATTTAACTGTCTGGTATACGATATAAGCTAATAGTGACATCCTTTCTTAACAATTTGGATAAACCCTAATCATCAGACAGACAGGTCCAAGTCTACACAAAATCAAAATCAAAGAAAGAAACAACCAAGTAAATTCCTTTGGCTATGTAACAATGTCTCATTGATATAGAAACAGATAAAAGTAACAATTTTTGAAACACACAAAGCGCCATATATTCCAAGGAAGCTTGACAACTCAAGACCACCAAACCACAAATCAACTCCCCTACTTGCGACCACCACGGCTAACCTTAGGGAACTCAACGGGAACACGCAAGCGAGCAACACGACGCGCATGCGCCTCCGCACGTCCACCCTTAATATTCCACTTAGCAAACTCCGTCTCACGAGGCTTATCAATACGACAACCAAGCTCGCGGAAGTACTGGTGAATAGTATTGGGGTCAAGACGCAGATCATCACGCAGATCAGAAGGATCCGTAGCAAGCTCATTGGGCGCATTACCACCAAGCGAGCTGGAACCACCGTCGCGTGCCGGCTGGGGCGGGATATGCAGCGAGAGCGCACAGATAGTAGTGTGCAAGAGGGTGAAGTCATTTTTGGAGACGTAGCCACCGCTAGGCGCGAAACGACGACGAACAGCATCGATCACAGACTCCGGGAGCAGATCCGTGGAAGCAGACTCTGCCGCAGCGCCAGGCTTGGGCTTTGTGACAGAGGATCCGGTGGTGTTTGATAGGATGCGACGGAGGTCTTCACGGGGAGGGAGACGCTTGCTGCCGGGGCCACCACCCTTGGCATTCGCGCCTGCATTTTTGAGCGAGCGTCCGAACTCGATGAGCAGCTGGATGAAGCGGAGGACTTGGAGGTGGGTTGTGTTGTCTGAGTTGACGACTGCGGCGACGCGGTTCGAGACATACCGGGAGACGGTTGTCACGCCCAGACCGGCTTCCACTTGTGTCTTCCACTCGTCTACGCCGTTTAGTTGGCTGAGGGTTGAGTGGCTTCCGGGGACGAGGGTCTCGATTGTGTAGACGTCGGAGGGGTGCGAGACGGCGAGGTTAGGGGTTGGGAGGGGCTTCGCGGCTTGCACTTCGGCTTGCATGGCGAGGGCCTTGGCGAGGCCGGAGGCTGTGTTTGCGGGCAGCGAGGAGATGAGGGGCTGCGCCGGCTTGTGGGACGGCGCCGGCGGGGGCGTTGGAGAGTTGGGCGTTCTCGGCCATGGATTGCACGGCCTTGCGGGATTGTTTGGTTCCGAAGGTGTTGGTAAGGGCTGTGCGTTGGGCGCGCATGGTGTTCTGGTCGTGTTTGTTAGTTGGATGTTGATGTATAGAATTGTCGATGGGAGGACATACCATCTCTTCGTCTGAGTCTTCCTCGGACTTGCGGCTTCTCACTGCTCCTCGCAGTGTCGCTCGTCGTACCTCCACGACCTTCCATGTCTTGCGCTCTGGGTCGATGACTGCGACGTAGTGCTTCACTTGCGAGTCGGTGTCGTCTCCTGTGCCTTCACGGCCGACAAAGTCCATCTTAGCGTGGTCTGAGGATTGCAGCAGCATCTCTGAAGAGACGATGCCCGGGTTCCGAGTTGACGCCGCAGACTTGGAGACATTGCCGCGGCTTTTGATATATGGGTTCCAGCGGAGGGATTTCGAGCTTTGGAGACCGGGTGTGTCGGCTACGACGCAAAAATTCAATTAGAGCACGTTCATGGTCTGGAGGAAAAGCCTTCAACTCACCAATTACCGGTGCCAGCTCGCTCTTATCTTCAACAACGCTGGCGGCCAGCGCGGGCAGCTGGTGCAGCGCAGGCTTTTTGCTTGGACGGCCATTGTCCGAGGAGCGCTTGCGCTTGTGTTCTGTTTTATTGGACGGCATTATGGCGTTAAAAACGAGAAGCAAAAGATCGTAGCTCTCGAGAATCGGCTTCAGCGCGGTGAAATAAAATGTCTGGACTTGTCTGGCAGAAAATTTTACGAGCGGAGACCAGGCAAGCGGTGAGTCTACGGCTTTCCGCACAAAGAAATATTGACGTATATGGGGCGTTAAGCTGGTGTCGATGGGATATGCGGATAGCCACGAACATTTGAAGGCATTTGAAGATAGCCACTCAGGTGGTAGTGACGATGCGGTTACAGGTTTACGTTTACAATGAATAGAAAAAAAAATATTGCACTCATCAAGTCATCGATTCATCTGCAGTAGCTAAACCAAGACCTCCGAGTTATTCCATGGATTTTTGATAAACTCCCGGAAAAAAAACCTCTCCATAACTTTTGACCAGCCCGAAGGAAGGCCGTAAAGATAATGGGAATTGACCAGTCACCCCAATGCCGTGCTCAAAGATCGATGGGTTGCACCAATCCTCCAACATCCACCTAAACACAGGAGCCCCTCCGAGTAATAACCATGCATGATATCAGATCGTAGACGTGAATGAATCCGAGGTGTTGGAATGTGGGTAGACTGTTGTTGTAACAGCGGATTCCGTCAATTTGAACTGCGATTTCTTCTGAAGATAGGTCGGAAATCTTGTCCGTGCAGGTAACTCGTTGGAATGAGGGGCGTGTCACGAAGAAACGAAAGTCGCAACGTCGCGTCGTCAATTGTCGTGTTCAGCGTTCAAACATGAGCTCGGGCAAGGAGAGCTGAGATGGAGGGGGCGAGTAGTTTATTTGCTGGTTTGAGAGTTAGTATTTCAGTTTCGTCGATTGGAAGCTCAATGGCCTTCGCAAGACCATCGGCGCACAATGGAAGTGACTTACGATCTGGCACGCATCTTTCTGCGCTTGCGCTTGAGACGGCGAGTGCGCTTCTTTCTCCACTTAGCTCTCATCTTCAAACTGTGGACTGGGTTAGTGCATTGCTCTCGAGGTTATTATAAGCTTCTGGAAAGCTACTCACGATTTCGAGGATGAAACAGAGATAGTAGAAAGAAAGACGAATTGAGGGCGGCCTGAGATGCATTTACGTACAGTGCGGCTGACTCAGCTACCCTCGCTTAGGCCCCACACGTGACACCTCAAGCTTCCATCTGTGACGACACATGACTATGCCAGATTAGGAAATTTGATAGGGTTTCACTCCATAGATATGTTGGGCTTGCAAACTATTTGAAAATAATTTATGTAACATACGAAGTACAAGTGGGGATTATAGGGTAATGACGTTGATACAATTCAACATTCATGAGAAGAACAATGACATTACTATTATTGAACAACATATCTTGTATAATATAGCTCCGAAATGGAACGCGCGAGACTTTTGATGCCAATGGCCAATGTTTCCGCTTGGGTATAACAAGTCGTACGTTAATTAGAGTAATATACCGAAATCATCATAACTCATAGAGCTTCGCAAAATCTGCAAGAGGAGATCCACAAAAGTAAAATGAGAAAAGGTCCGTCATCCAAAAGTATTTATCCACCCTGGACAATTTCTCAGTAAGTGTACCTATACGTGGGCGCCAAATCACCCAGATATTCCTCTTCATCCTCGGGGATGGTAGCAGGATCAACAGGAGCGCGGTCACGTTTCTTGTTTTGGAGCCACAGGGCTGCCATGTAAAGCGAGCATGCCAGACCGGCGAGACAAATGAATGAGAGACAGATGATATATCCGGTTCGGACATCCGTGACGCCATTCTTTACGACAAAAGAATAGGTAGCGATAATTCCACCGATATTGCCGAAGCCAATCTGCCATGCGGTTCCCACGCTGCGTCGATGATGGCCACCCAAATTCATGGAGAACCAGCACACAATGACGGGCATGGCGCTGTAACAGCCACTGGTGACCATGAAAAGAGCGCCATATTGCGCGCTATTATTGTTATGGATTGTTAGGAGCATGATAAATCCAATAATGGCGATCGCCATTGGAATCAGGGTGAAAATAAATCGGTGTCGCAATCGGTCAGAGCAGAAGGCGACTACCATTGAGAAGCCGAATGCTGCAGCCCAGGGAGGAATGGAGTATAGCTGGGTTTTGATCGCACTGTAGCCATAGGTCTGGATAATCGACGGCGCGAAGTATGCATATCCTGTATGAGAGTGAGGAATAATTCAGAGGGTAACAAGGACGTGATTTACTTACCATAAGCTGGAACAATCAAGCCGAAGTACATAAAGCCTCCAATAAAGACCTTGTCTGGGGGAAGTCAGCGCGCTGCAAGTGAATGCAAGAGGGAGTATTCGAGCTATACTTACAGTCCTTAAACACACCCAGAACCTCGCGCTTGCCCAAGTGAACATTGTGAGCAGCCTTGCCGACATCCTTGGCCAACTTGGCACGCATGTATGTGCGCTCTTCCTCATTCAGCCACTTAACATCCTCGGGGAAATCGGCAATAAAGAAGAACAGGATGATCGCGACCACACTGGTCAAAATACCCTCGATAATGAACACCCAGCGCCAGCCACTGTAGCCGCGCATGCCATCCATCTTTGCAATTCCACTGGCAAGCAAACCACCGAAGGCGCCGGCCAGGGAAGTGGAGCTAAAGAAGAAACTGAAACGCTTTTGAGCTTCAGAGCGCGTGTACCACATGCCCAACAGATAGAAACCTAGCGATCACAATTAGCACCTGTCTTAGGAGTCATGGTTGGTATTTGCACTTACATCCAGGGAACATGCCGGTCTCAAAGACACCCAAAAAGAATCGAGTGGCCATTAGTCCACCCCAGTTCTGTACCAGACCCTGGAAGAGCAGGACCAAGCCAAACATGAACATGCATCCCGACACTAAATTCGAATTAACCAGCTGCCCTCAACAAAATTGCGCAATCGCATAAGGCGCATGAGGCGCATGAGGGAGCAAAAAACTTACGCCAGACATGGGGCTTCAACTTCTTGAGCAGAATATTTGACGGAATCTCAAAGATAATATAAGGAACGAAGAAAATCGTGAGCGCGGTGTTGTATTTTGTTCCATCGGTGATGTTTAAATCCTCTTTTAATCCGAGAATAGCGGCATTGCTAATATTAACTCTAGAGGTCGATGATGTCAGAAATCCGCGGACAAGCAATGTCAGGTCGCACGACCGAATGGTAAGCTTACCGATCCAAAAAGGCAAGCAAATACAAAATGCACAGACAGGGTAGGATGTGCCAATCGACCTTGGCTTGCAACTTGCGCGCGGTGGTAGTCGTGAGAGGAGGCAGGTCGAAGTCCGCGTCGGAACTGACCTGACTTTCGCCCTTGTCGATGGGTTGTTCGTTATAGGGGGGCGGTTCTGCGTAGGAAAGATACCGAACGGTCAGCATAAATTCCAAGGCGACGATGCGCTGGCGCGCGCTGAGTCACTAAACCCTAAAAAGGACGAAAGAAAGAAACCCGGGGTACATATATAGGATCGAACATACCTGAGACACCCATGATAGGATGTGAATTGCGCTGGGATACGCAATTGCTTGGAAGGACAATAATAATAGGGAAGAAAGAAAGAAAGAAAGAAAAGAAGGGGGAAGTCTGACTTTTTTGAGTCAAGCACAGGTTCTCCGATATAGGGATGTTACCGAGGTGCTACGTTAGATGCCGGGGGGCCTTAAACGTGGGGTAAATTTCGCAGTCCCGAGGAAAACCAAGGCTGAAAGAGCAGAATGGACAACCTTGGCGACTTGGAGGATTTGAATTATAAAGGGTGAATCATCCCTAGTCGATCGCAGCCCGATCTCGGCCTATAGCGCGCCGATATGCATTCCGGATTTTTAATTATTTCTTTTTTTTGCTTTTTCTCTTTTTCAATTTCAATTGCTTGTTTAGGATCGGCAGGTATGTAACTTTACTCTTTTGAATCTTATTTCCCCCCCTTACTACTACAGCATGTACATGTATGGAGTATTCTGTGCTTAGAATTCTCTTCTTCCAAGCTTCCCCGCAAAATAGCTTGCCAATCACGTGCCCAGTAATAGGGGTCTTCGGCCCGACTAACTATCCACTTGGCCCGCGAGTGCGGGGTGTATTGTGGTCTCTGCTGAGTTCGCTTATTTTATTATTATTGACAGGTGGATTGGGTTAATCTATCCATGATAGAGGTACGGAGTAGTAAATGGGAAAGATATGACTGTCCTTTTTGACATTATATTATTAGTTATGATATCTAAAGTATTGACTGAATTGTAGGCAAATATATCCACCACACCACGACCCTGACCCTTACAAAAAAAAAAAAAAAGAGGAAATGTTCACGACTCTTTGGCCCACTGCTTGCCACTCCACAAGTTCCCCGTGGTTGATAGCCAATAGTCCCGGCCTTTGATCAGCCACACGAAGAGGCTGGGCAACTGGAAGCCCATGGCGGCGCCCACCCCCTTGCTCTTTCCAATTGGCACAAGCTGAGTTTCACGAGTGTCCTCCTTGAAAACACGATCGGTGCCCACGGTACTCTCCTCTTTCCCCTCAGCAATAAGCAAATCCCGTTTAATATTCGCACACAGAATGGGGACGGTATTCAAGATATTGTGCACCGCCGGACGCGCATGCGATCCCGCATCACCAATCGCGTAGACTCGCGCACCAGCTTTATCCACACGCAAGGTGGATACATTGGTCTCTACCGAGCCACTAGCCGTTAACAGGGACTTATGGATAAAGCTGGTATTAGCCACAGCTCCGGTAGCGGGGATATAAAGGTCGGCCTCGAGTGTTTTACCGTCTTCCAAAGTCACCGTCGCATTGGTTGTTAGAGCACTTCCAGTGCCTGCACCAGTTGGTGAGACAGTTACAACGCGTGAGCCCGTGACAACCGTCACGCCAACCTGTGCGAGGAAGTTCTCCGCCTTCTTCGCGATCGTGGGTCGTAAGACTGGAAGGATCTTCGATCCTGCCGTCACTAGGGTAATGGCGATATTGGGATTCTCCAGTTTAGAGCTGAACCAGCCAGCGTGACCATTGAGATATTCGCCTAGCTCACCGGCTGTCTCTACACCGGCTGGACCTCCACCCGCGATGACAATATGTTTGGCGTTGGGGAGAGCTTCGCGGAAGGTTTTCCAGGTAGCGCGCAGGGACTCAGAGTCGCCATTCAGCCCTAGTAAGGGCGACGCGGTGGATGTACCGGTAGCGATGACAAGCGCATGGTATGCAATATTCTCGGTACTGCCGTCTTTGAGGCTCGCAGTGACATAGCGGCCGTGGTGGTCGAGCTTCGTCACAGTACCTTGGATGAACCGAAAGCTGTCCTTCGGGTACTGCTCAAACTGCTGTGGTACACCGACGAAGAGCTTTTCCTGAGGGAACATGCCATCTGAGATTAATGCGCGAGGACAGGCCGGGCGACATATGGCTTGCGACGAGGTGCTGATGAGAATGACTTGATAGCTAGCTTTGTTGAGTAGCTGAGAGACGACATGTTTGAGAAGGTAGTGCGCAGTGGATATGCCCCCCGTAGGAACCTCCCAGGATAACAAGGTTCTTCTTGCTAGAATCTTGAGACATCGTCGCAATGGACTTGCGCGAATTGTAGGAGCTCGATGGTCTAGGATGTAGGAAATTGAGGACTAGAAGAAGGTGCTACGCGTTACTTATATGTCCATTACTGATCCCAAACTCCCTCTCCCTAGGCCCCAGCTTCTATCGCGGCATTTTGCCATATAGTGTTGAGGCGTACTGTGCCATGATGCTGATTGGTTTATTGGCTCGGTCTCTCGGGCTTCACATCACCGGCTTACACGGAGGATGCTGTCGTGATTTCCAATCATATAAAAAAAAGGAATGGTGAAAGGCAAAATCTCGGTGAAATGAATTAAAATGTTTCGATCAAGAGATACTAGAGCTATTTAGCAAAGGAGAATCCTTCTGCCAGCTGGATCCATCGATCTATGGGATCCATTGCCTATCCCGCTTAGTCACCTACTGGTTCCACCTGGGCACTCCCGTAGAGCTAAAAAATATACTTTGTATACATACGCTAACTACGTAGTAGGTGGGAACGGGTTTTACTTCAGTTGAATAGTATCTATATTAGAATGTCTCTAATAATCGAAACGTTGTGCGTGAATGGATTGTCAATGCCTGGAACTTCAGGTCAGTAGTCTTAGGTAACTAACCAACCCACCCGCGGACCAAGGAGTTGGTAGTAAACTTCAAGAGTTCTTCTCTCTTCAATCACCCTTCCTTTTTTTTCTGGACCTCCGCCTGTTATACTTAACCTGTTTCTACATAGCCAGGAAAATATCTGCCCTCCTAAAATGGGCAAAACCAAACTGCAAATATTGTTGAGCAGCATCTCTACCCACAAAGAGAACAGGCAGGTACAACCAACCATGAAGCAAAGAACACATGCGATCAGACATAATGCACGATAACACAAAATTGCAGACGTGGCATTCTCATTATCCCATAGAATGATTTCCATGACCCGAAATTCCCTTGCTCAAACTCTTGTGCTCAACGTTTTCTTCTCTTGATTTCCAGTTTCGGTCGGTGATGGGCCTTGTTCGACGATCGAGCCATCCGAGACGACAACCCTGATACGAACATCTACGAGCTTCAATGATTCAATATGATGGAAAGGCCACATCAGAATACTAGAAGGGGAAATATACCTCTAACGATTACTACAAGCATCCCGGTGAAGAATCTAGAACACAACTCCAAGAGCCCAAGGGGATCGATTTTACTAGTCATGATCTCATCCGCTACGATCTCAGCACACTTTGATTTCATGTAGTGGTATCTTCTACTTCTACAATATCTCTATCCAACCCAAAAATGAGGCAGTCCCCTGTCACATTATGGGAAATGCGAACTATTGAATCTCAACAGGGATATCCTTGTCTAGCGTTGGGGGATCGACCCGAAATGGCCCCCTGTCAAACAAAGAACTGGGCCGCAAAGTGATTTTTCTTTTTGATATGTAAAAGAAAATTGGAGGCAACCTCGAGGTTTTGTTCTTTTGTGTCAAAGAATGCATGAAACCCAGGAGCTTTGGTCATATACCCAATCCTTAGCCTGATGCAGCCTTTTATTCTGATTCCACGTTTCTCTCTCTCTCTCTCTCATTTATTTCTCTCGTTTGCCATATTTTATTTTTTGTCACTTCGAACGTCTAACTCGAATATTCAAGCTTCCTTCTATGTGCCATTTTTTTTCATTAAATGAGTCGGCAGTAATTATTCCAATATTCGTTGAATCGGCCTTCAAGTCACCGTTCTCTGCGGTTTTCCTTTTACTGCTATCACCATGAGCTTTAAAAGAACTAGGGTGCAGGCACCTAAATTCTTATTTACTCGCCGTGGAGCTTGCATAGCATTTATTATCCTCATATGGTTCCTCTTTTATCATCTTCCAGATCCTCCTTCCACCCAGAACAATACCCGCGCAGACCGGCCACACCCAGAGCATCAAGTAGAGGACACGCCACGATTTCTTTACCGCTCTCCCTTTCGAAAGAACCCGGATGTTGAATATGAAAAACAACTGTCAGAAGCCCTGAAGGAGATTGAAGAAGCCGTATTGGCAAGTCAGGAAAGCAACATATCAGAAGATAGAATCTGGCAGATAGCGAAAAATGAGAAACACAGGGGGAAGACTCAATAATATTTGAGGGAAAGCATAAAGAGTGGGAATACACCGTAAGTACTATGATCAGGTCATGCATAACTTGGTTGACTTCCACTAAAAACCACAAAGTTAGTCAGTGATAAAAAGGCCATCGAGTTTGTGACCAACGAGCTATCCGCCATCCCCGAAATCGCGACCATATATAAATCGTACCCTCGCAATGTCCTCCGAGCAGATCTCCTCAGATACCTCCTTCTCTGGTACTACGGAGGCTTCTACGCAGACATTGATGTCTTCCCCGCCCGCACCATCAAGACCTGTCCAGCCCTAGAGCCATTCTTCGCACCACCACCCAACGAATACACAGAAAGTACTCATCCCGATGTATCGCTCGTTGTTGGAATCGAAGTCGACGAGCCATACGCTTCACAGCAATTCATGCGCGACTGGCATTGGACAAGGAGCTACGGACTCATCCAATACACCATGTATGCACCGCGACGTTTCAGTCCGCTTCTCCACGAAACAATCGTGCGGGTCTTGTCACATACCAGGCAATACAACAGTCAACATAGCAGCTTCTTCCGCAGTCCGGCGTATGGCGAGAAGACTATATTAGGAGTCACAGGACCTGATGTCTTCACGGATGCTATTCTTGATACACTTTCCTCTTCGCTGCCTTCGACACATCCGTTCGTTCAACAATCTATAGATGCAGATGCGGATATAGGGGATCTTCTCTCTCCTGAACTTGGGGACTTGAACGAACGGGTAACGTGGGCTCCGTTCCATAGACTCCGGGATTCTGTCTGTATTCAGGCTGATGAGGCTGCCCCAAATAAATCTATGGGTGGACTATGCGTGTTGCCAATCAGTGTTTGGGGGAATGGTCAGAGACATAGTCAGGCGGGAGGGTTTAATCATCCCAACGCTTGTGTCAATCATCGGTTTGGGCGGACGTGGAAGAAGGGGTGGTGGGAGTATATATTTGGGTGAAGTTTTCATTGTTTGATCTGGATTTGATCGTCGAATTGACATCCTCGGCATAAATTGAATGAGACAATTCCTTCCTCATGGAGTCAATTTCTTTGCATTTGTCTAATGTTACTGGAGTATACATTGTAGAGGAGATCTGAAATACAAAGCAATCCAGTATAAGTAAAAAATATTGACGAGGGAGGAAATAAAAGAACTGCAGGAGTCCTTTACTAATACAAGAAAATTCAAGCAGCATCAAGCCCAGCGAAGGGGAAAATGCTAAATCCGTCAACTCCCTGCTATGAGCTCTCCAAGAAATCATTTATAGCACTGGCAGCCTTCCTTGTCGGGGTTCTGGCAACGAGCCTGGTTGACAGAACAACCCCCACAGAATGCACACGTATCAGGAGCATAGCAGTTCCCCTCCCCTACAACACAGCTTCCGTGATGACCCACACACTTGGTGCACGCGTTAGTTCCTCGACCCTCAAGATCTCTTGCCTGAAATGAACGTGTTAGAAAATTACCGCTCTTCACAATGGGGATCAGTCGGCAAGGTACCTGGGCCAAGCTTTGCTATATGGAGTCAGTTACCATGTGTAGGAGGGTTCGAGGGATTAAGTACTCACTGGCTCTCCATAGAAAATATCCTCGCCAGATTGGTAAATTTCGAGCTCCACGCCGTTAGCAGCAAAAAGGCCACTCTTTGCGGCCGATGCGTTGGCAACAAGAAGAGCGAGGATTGCAGTGCCTTGGAGGAATAGTCTCATTTTGAAAAAAAGGTCGATGGTTTGAATTGAAGCTAAATGGATGTATTGGGCTTCTCGCGCGAAGTATGGAATTGAGGTAGACTTGTACGACTGAGGTTGATGGTAACCTGGGCCTTTTTATATCTTGAAGTTGTTGATCCAAAATACGTTTGCTCCCTTCTGCTCGCAGGCTCAATATGCAATCCTTCTGCGTAGGCCGCTAGCAATGCAATCCTTCGATGTATTACGTGTATACCTGCCTTGGCGATTCTGGGGTAGAATTGGGCATTGGTAGGTCTTAGTAGACCCAAGAGCCTCAGATTCTGAAGTAGACGGACCAATATCTGGGGATTGTCAACTCGTAAGCCTAACTCGGTACTAGGCAGGCCTTTTGCTTTTTCTGAATAGTACAGTTTGTGTTTCATTGGCCATGCTGTACGTGGTACTCTAGCTGTTTCCTGTTATCTCTGACTAAAGGATTCTGGTTTATCTCTAGTCTACCGGGGTCAGCCTGAAATGAAATTGGACTGGTCTTGTGATGCAGGTTCCCTTTGAACCGTATTGAATGACTCGTAACTGATCACTTGTAAGATATTTGGAACCCTCGAGAATATAGACTCCTCACACGGAGTAGATGATTCAAGGATTCAATACATTGCAAGAATGTTATTTGAACGGCCCAAAAGAAGAGCCTGCTTTTTAAGCTCAGGATTGAACAAGCTATGTATAGCCGTTCCGATGATTGCCGGTGTGACAGGAACGTGTTATTAAAATGAAAAGCCACAGACATCTTAATACGAGTGATCCGCGAAGAAAAAGCAACGGACTTCAGCTCTAAGGCTGAGGGTAAGACCCAAGTCTCTAAATTTATCCAATAGAAGCCCTTGAACCACGGACTGACACGAAACCAGGATCAACTTGACGTTGGCCATGTGGGGACAGCAATACAAACAACGGATCCCTGCATATGCGGCATACTTTGCAGTAAGGCAATTATGCAGAGATCTGCACCTTTTATTCCTATAAAATTGATGGGGAGCGCCCAAACTAGAGATTACCCCGTTCTTGCAGAGCCTTACCAAAATAGTCCGATCTGCATGCAACCAGTAAGTATTTGTGATGTATGGGGTAGCCCTCCACCGTGATCTAGGCTAGACATCATAATATTGACTGGTGTTTATAACGCTACTCCGTACGGAGTAGTCAGGAGAGGGATGCAAGGCGATGATGCCAGGTAATAAGTGTCCCGCAAGTAAATTGAAAAGAGAAAGAGAGTGCTCAAATAATGTAACATGCAAATGGGAAATAAAGACCAAAAAATGTTACTCCACTGCTATGACCTCCATTTGTATCTCCTGTCTATTACCTTTATGTCCCATCCTAGGAACAAAAACAGTAGTTCGCGGTGGTGCAAACGGAAGGATCCGCTTGTAGAGAGCCTCGAAACCCTCTATTAAATGAACCCACAAGTTCTCCGTAAAATACACCTATGAAAAAGATCTACATTTAGCCCCAAGCGATCCAAAAGCCACGAATTATCAGATCCTACCGTAGTTTTAATAATCCTGTCCAAACCAGACCCCGCCTCCTTCAGAATCGCCTCTATATTACGGATCATTTTCTCCGCACTTGCGAGCGATTCGTTAAGATGCGCCGCACGAGGCATATTCGCTATTTGGGCTGCTACATAGATCGTTCCGTTGACCTTGAATGCCTGGGACTATTATGAGTGGTTAGGATGAGTAAAATAAGACCCGGAAGAATTCATCTTACAGAGCCGCTCGGTGCTGAGGAAAGTCGCATTAGTCACGGGCAAAAACCATGGAGAATCTGTGGGAGATCGGCTTACGTTCAGGGGCTGATGGGGTCCGTATACATTCGATGTTGGGCCTGCGGGGCGGGGAGGCTATCATAATCCGGGGGATTGTCAACTTGTTCTGTCATAGTGGACTGTGTGGCCATTTTAGGACAAAAAGCAAAATGGAATATGTCGCGTGGTCAATGTGAATAGTTTAGTTGGCTGATAAGAAGAAGAAGAAAAAAAGGATATCGCCCGGGAACGGCCCTTTTGGGGTGATGTGAGGGGGTTGGGCCTATCACGGCCTTGTATAGCGGCACGGGGGATTGTTTGGGATGGGCTTATTTAGTTCCCCCGCAATTTGCACAACTACGGGCAGCACAGAGGCCAAAGTGACGCCAAGATATTGACATCTCTTGGGGAGGAGTGAATCTAGTGGGAACAGCTGTATAGTTTGTGTTGATTAATGATGTCAAAACAATATATTTAAGAGTGCGAATTGCATAGGTAATTCTTCAAGATACTCGCTCACTCATGCCGCAGGAAGCACCCAGGTTGTCACAGATTGACTCGGAATATTGCCACTCCACTCCTGGCCACTATTAGTGGACACAGTAATGTAAACATCGTTACTGAATGTATTCTCAACAACAACAGTGCGACTTCCATCTGGATTCAGGGAAGCAACAGATTGCACACCTCCTCCATTGGAATACGTGTAGCTCCCGGTACCACTCAGCACAATAGCACCCGGTGGCATGAACTTGCTGAACTGAGCCATCATATAGTATGCCGGGTTGAAAGTATATCCGCCGTTGGAAATAGTCACCAGACCTCGGCAGTTTCCACAGCCACCACTGGATAGGTGAGGACCATCTTGATCGTTTGTGCCAAGTGTCCAGGCTGTAACGCCTGATGCCCAATTTTGCAAAGGCCCCATGGTAAAATCGGCGGCTTGGTTCCATGATGCGGATGCCGGGGTCCAGCATTCTGTCATATATTGCTTGATATTAGGGTTTGTTTGGTGGAATTGGGTGAGGACCGTCCAGTCTACATTGCTGGCATAGCAGTGCCATGCAACAGAGTCGACATACTGGCTAGCCCCGTTGATGACGTTCTGAGGGTAGGACGTCACATCTGATACCCGTCTGTTAGCAAATGGGATCCTCCGTCAAAGATACCGGATTGTCGATTACATACCAGTGTTGTGATCATATGCCCAGATATCGGTGCTCAGGCCGGCTTGAGCGAGAGCCGGACCGACATAGTTCTGAATCAACTGTGCAGACTCGTAGTCATACACATACATTGTGGGATATCCAGCTTGGCTGTTCAAAGGCTCATTTTGAATGGTAATCGCATCGATATGCGCGCCGAGATTCTCATACGCCTGGATGTACTTGACGAAATACTGAGCAAACGCACTGGCATACCCAGTACTCCCAGTGCCTCCTCTATTTAAGTATCCATCGTTGAGGTTATTGTTATTCGTAGTACCATCAATTACACCGTTCAGCTTCATCCACCCGGGCGCACTCCAAGGGGAACCAAGAATCTTCAAGCTCGATTGAAGGGACTTCATCTTAGCTAGCATCGCAGCCATGGCATTTCCACGGTCGCCCAGATTGAAACCGGACATCGATGGATCGGCATTATTCCCATTATCGTCATAGGTATACGCCGGGTCACCAGACAGGTCGGAAGAGCCAATCGTATGGCGCATCAAAGCGAATCCGGCACCAGCACCGGTCATTAGCTCATTAAGCAGTTCTTGTAACGTAGAACTGGACAGCGTGTTGAAAGAAGTGACTGTGGCATCGGTGACAGCAGCTCCAAAGCCCACGATTGTTTGTTTGTGCCCGCTGGATGTATCATCGATGCTGAGCTTCCAGGTCGATTCGGAGCCTGGATTGCCGCTTCCCTGGACTGGTGCTGCGATTGATGAGAGCTTGTAATTGCCATTTGAGTTTGAGCAGTAGGCTGATGCAGTGGTTGCTCGCTTTCCAGGTGATGCCTCTGCTACCGCTGAAAGCAGGAGTATAGGAAGAAGAGATGGAAGCATCATGTATACTGCTTCCCAAAATAGGATTCTAGAAAGTCAGTCGTTCTTCAAGAGACCAGGGGAGCAAATTAAAAATTGTCAGTGGAGGGCATATACTGTCTTTATATGTCTACTAATGACAATATTGCATAGGCCATACCCGGCCATTTTCCTAAAAGATAAATGCACTAATGCGTTGAGGGAAAAATAAGCAAACACACCTAATACCCCTAATTTCGGGCATAAGCTGACGAAAAATACTACAGTATCACCGACTAATGCAAGCCACATTCTTTCCGAGGGGTCCCTGATTGCTTGTATTTTCTTGGTGTCTCAGGTACCTCGGGAAAACGACCCATTCAAGGATAGTTACATAGAATAATCTTCCCCGCATCCTCAGTGGTTCGTATAATGCCATTATGCTACTCAAACAAGCGATGGTCTGACTAGATGCTCTAGTGCTTATTCGGGGCGGGGTTGCCCGGAAACGGCGCGGAATAACAGGCTGGGGCGTTGTAAAACAGAAGTTAATTTGCCGGAATGAGAGGATTGAAGTGACAATGACCAAGCTGACAGCCACAAAGTCAATGTCAGAAGTTTAGATCAGAGCGTATAAACTTTCGGGGAAAAAATATCTCTTGCTGTCCAATACCGGACAAACGAAAGGGAAGGAGGTCAAAAAGAAGACGAATTTAGCATCAAGATCTTAATCGTTCACTGCTGATACAGTTCTCCACGCTTGATGCCATTACTAGTACATAGTACTTGTAGTAGTCGATCAATGAGCCAGGTTAGGGAATATTGAGGGGAGATCTCCAGCCCTAAATGGCAGCCACGTGTGTAGGGCTTGGAGGGGTTGGACGAACCGTTTTAGCACATTTTGTGAGAGAATCTGCAGATCATTGGAACAGTCTCGAACAATAAGTGGAATAAGTGGAATAAGTGGAACTTCTATGAGGGAATGTTGAAGAATGCGAAGAATGCAGGTTGTGTGGTGCCGAAAACAGGTCAGCTCCAGATACGCTGAGCTTATGACGTCAATACCCTGGGAACAGGTGTTTCACACGGTTATAACGGTGATAACCCCTCCATCCTACATATCTTGCTCCTTCAAACTTCTTCCACTAGAAATTATCTTCAAGATTAGTTTACATTATGAGCGGTTATAAATTCCCCGTCGAT